TAGCTGAGATCTGACCGCAAATAAAAGAAGATGAATGTTGAGTGAATAACGAGTGAAGATTCCACTCTTTCTATTTGCTCCTACTATAGATATATTAAAGAATTTCTTAAATATAAACAAATTTGCATTGGAAGAAATTCTTTTGTATCACCTTCCGCCAAATACGTTTTTATTTTCGAAGTACATAATAAGTATTTAGAGAAAATTCTTCCCAATTGTCCTCTTGGAATAAAAAATATAACATGATATAATATTGGAACTTTATTTGAGATTTCTTTGTTTCTTCAATATTCCTCGGATATCTCACAGGCAATGTTACTCCAAAAATGTTTGAGTTGCTACTGATAGATTTGTTTGGAATTATCGCGTGTAAACATGACCAATTTGTAGAGATTGTTTACATTTCTCGACTAGCGAGAGAGTTATTGCTAGCTGTCCACTTATTTTTGTCTCACGACAAATAGCTGATTATTTCGTTAAATGTGGACTGTATTTTTTATTAAATAATCTCCATACTATAAGGATACAGAATAAATAAAAGTTTGGTTCGTAATAATAACAACATAAATTCGTTTAAATTTCGTTAATATCAATTCTCTTGGTTCGTTGCTAAATATACACGGGGTTCAGAAAATCATGGTATAACAGGCGAAGGGATGATTCTATATGCAAAAATAAGTCAGAAGATATGAATAACATTTTCTCATTTAAGACGTCGTTTTCGAGAAAACTAAGTTGAAAGATGTGTCAAAATCGCGTGGCTTCTAGTATGACGAAGAGTAGAATTGGTATTTCATGACCAAACGCGCCACTCGATTCCTATTCAATAGTGTTATTTTGTCAACCTAATTTTTCCTGAAAATGGAACCTTAAATGAAAAAATGTTATTCTCTCTTTTCGACTTATATTTTCATGTAGAATCAATTCCTGGCCGGCTGTGTCACGTTTTCCCGTTTTTCACCCTCTATATACCATATTATTTGTTATACAAGTTATCTTTAATATATTCTGACACCTTTAGCCTACTACAGTGATGCGCATAGTAATAGACTTAAAGTATCTTTTACATTTTTAGTAATATTTAAACAAAAATTTAACGGAATATCGTATTCGTATATTTCTATATTAGAATGAACAGAAAATAGAAATATATAAATATATGTTAAGTTTTCGTTTAAATATCGGTAACAATATGAAAGCTACTTTGAGTCTATAATTATGTACACCACTGTATATATTAAAAAATGTGTCTGCAATGGCATTTAACTGTGCACAATCGGAGTGTTACCGTATGATGACGGTAGGTTTCAATATTACTTTTAAAAATGTCGACGACAAAAGAAGTCGTCAAGCCTAACGAAATATTTCGTTATATCCGGTTAACGAGTTAAGGCGTATAAATGATAAATTTTCGGAACTCTTGCAAATTTTGTACATGTATATGAGATTCTGCTCTGCGAATGTCGTAATACTGGATTGCTTTCCAACACCCTTCACCCTCTATGGATCGAATATTTTTTTAAAATATAAAAAAATGTATCCAACGGAAAATCAACAATTATAAACCTATATATGCAGATTAAAAAGAATTACCAGTTTAAACAATTTTATTATTAATTCATACATTCACTTTGTAACTTTGAAGTAACAACGGATAATAATATCTATGCGTCGTCGGATAAATCGGACTCAGAATTTAATAAAGAATCTTCGGATCTATTTTTATTTTTGTGTGATTTTTTATCCATATTTTTGTTATATCATATATAAATCTGAAAATAGGAGAAAGCACAAGCATTATCCTAAATATACTGAAATCCACCATAATAGCCGACTGTAACCTGGAAGTCACAAAACTGTATTATATGCAAATGCAACAAAATGATTATTGAAATGCAAATAAATACAGACCCAGAGCTATTATGTACGCTTTCCTTTTGGTTTAGTGAACACCGACAGAAGCACAAGATAGTTCCGTTGGTTTCTATCTGCAGACAACTTGCAAGGCATTTACTTTGATATTTCAGGTTGATGGTGCTGCCAACCGTCATCAATATTCTTATTGGTTAATCCCAGACACAATATATAATTAAGACGTATATGCCATCTTGTAAAAAAACTGGAATTATTTGGTAATTTTGGTCACATTAGCGTGTGACCTGGTTGTTACATGGGCCCATAGAGGGTTAACGCAATTACATACATTGTTATTGCAAGAGTTTTTTGGTTTTACATTCGGCGCGTAACGCGATAAATATTAGGGGGACCGGAAAGTTATGTCGTTTGTGTTTACATTAAATTCAAACAGATAAATTTTTAACTAGTTTTTATTTTCAATCAATGATGTAATCATCCTCATTTTCAACAACCTTTTTTCATTTAGTATGCAAATTTTTAGTATGCAAAAATTAGTATACAAAAGAAAAAGGAATACTGACATGCGCAGAAACGACATTACTTTCCGGCCCCCCTAATAGAATCCGGCCTAACATTTTATCGACACAAATTCCACGAAACAAAACTTTTGATTCCAAAAATTATCCTAATCAACAGAGCAGTTTTATTATATTCTTTGAGAGGGAGCCACCGAGTGTGAAGGGTCAACTGTCTCATAATTCTTTCGAGAAATGGCGTGGCAATTCCCCCAGTGGCACCTCGATGTCGCCGATCGAGCGCGCCGAATAAATCACCGAAAGAAAAAGAAAATAGTTCATCTTTTGTTTGCCGAAGAAAATCCGATTTCCGCAGTGGGTGTGTGCGCGAACCAGCGAAATCGAGCGTACACAATACTTAGGATGGCGGCATCGCGCGTACGCAGGACCGCTAGTTAAATGTATGAAAATAAATTGGAACCGAGTGGCCTCGGGCGTCCGATCGGGTATTGTCTCTGGCGTCTCGATGACTATATAGTTACCGCTATAGAGTTATCCCGAATCGAACGCCTGGAGGGAGACCGGGCTTGTAATAGCCAGGCTGCTGCTCGGGGAACCGTAATGTCATAATAGAATAGCGATGTTAGTAATACCATCGCGATGCACCGGCGTAGGCAACCGGCCGATTGACTGGTCCGTGTACTGTAGCCGGGAGAGGCCCAATTTGCATCGCATTGTGTACTCGTTACGCCTTCGTCCGCGCCGCTACGCATCCATACGTGCGCCACTGCGCCGAGCAGAGTCGAGCCGAGCCGAGCCGAGTCGAGTCGAGTCGAGTCGAGTCGAATCGAGTCGAGTCGCGAGGACTCCGACAGTCCTAGTCGGCGTCGGTAACAGGCGTCGGCGTCGGCGTCGGCGCGCATCGGCCATCCCGACGGCAAAACCGCCGCCGTTCCAGCAATCAGCGCCCTGGGAGAACTGTGGAAACCGCGGAAACCCCTAACTCGATTATCGTTCCTGGCGTCGTTATCGTTATTAGTCGCTCCATCGCCCGAATAACGCGACGGAAGACCAACCTCGGCTCTCGATGTTGTTCCCACACCCTCGCAATTGTTGCACGTTTCATGCGCGTTCATTGGGTTCTTTCTTCCGGGACAAATACTTTTCTGATATTGTCTCTGTCGCACGGCGCACGGTGGCCTGGGATTCAAATGTTCATTAAATTTTTCATGTTACATACGTTTGTTGATAACCTTTCGAAGATTCGAAGTACAAAATATCAGCTGTTTTAGATAATTGAGCGATGTCACTGCGAAGACAAAATTTGGAGAAGCAAAGTGAGATCACTCTAAGAACTCATTACAGAGCATGAAATTAATAGGTTTGGATTAATGTTTCGTGTATATTAATAGGCGTATTGTCATTGAAATATTTATCGTTCATGTTAAAGTTGTATTTAAAAGCTCTTGACACATGTATTTAAATAATATTGAAGACAAAAATTGCTTCGAAAATGTGTTTCGGACGTCGTAACGACGTCCAGTTAGGGACGTCTCTAAGACGTCTTATCTCAGACGTCAAAACGACGTCCACTTTAGGTCGAAAGACGTTCAGACCTAAAATGGACATAAACTGGACGTCTTTAAGACCAAAAATTAAAAATTGTTAGATAATTTTCAACCTACTAAAATGATTAAAAGAAAAGGAATCTGTTAAACGTCTGTTTGTTGCAACTAAGATGGACAATTTTTATTTTGCATAGAGGCCCGCAGTCTAATCATAACAAAGTATATTTACCATTGTATATTTTCCCTCAATCTTTTTGTGCGTGAAAGTATCTAATTATTATTTTATAAATGAGATATTATAATATATATTATACTATATAATATGTAAAATGTATAATTTATTATATAATATTATATATAATTATGTTATATATATTATATAGTAATAATATAAAATATAATTATATATAATATTATATATAATATAATTTATTATATATTATATATAATATATTGTCATATATTCTATGATAAAATTACTTTATTTCTTTGTATGTGGTAACTATTATATTTAACTCAAACAAACCTTCGACCACGCCACATCGCTTACAAGTTATAAGATTGTAGGCTCCTAACTACAATAGACTATGTGTAATTGTTGAACAATGCTCTATTTCGAACTGCATTATATTATATAGTAGTAATATAAAATATAATTATATATAATACTATATATAATCATGTTATATATATTATATAGTAATAATATAAAATATAATTATATATAATATTATATATAATATATTGTCATATATTCTATGATAAAATTACTTTATTTCTTTATGTGTGGTAACTATATGTAACTCAAACAAACCTTCGACGACGCCACATCGCTTACAAGCTACAAGATTATAGGCTCCTAACTACAATAGACTATCTATAATTGTTGAACAATGCTCTATTTAGAACTGCAGCCATTCCATCAGATCAGTGAGTGGTTGCAGCATTTTTTAGTGGTTGGCCACTTGTCAATGATGCACCGTCACCGGTTTGTATTTCCCGCGCTTTCTCGGCGTGTTTTGGTATGCGCGTAACACCGCTTCCCCGCTTGTGATTGTCGGAATAACGTCGCAGTCAAACGTAGCGTGTTGATTTAGACACCCTTCTGTTCGTCAACGTTCCGCGCGCAGTAACTGTTCTTGTACAGTGTTCTCGGTGGAATGTCTTTTGCTCGTTTGTTTTATTATAGTTTTCAACGTCAATCCTTAGTTTATCGTTCGTAAATCCATCACGAAAACATATCCTCAACTGTTAAAAACACGTGACTCCAACGACGCACGTGCATCTTGCGGCCTGTCGCAAGATTCTACGCAGCTTTCGTAGAATTCAATTAATACAATTGAATTTTTACGAATCACCCCAGTACCACAGTAAGTTTATTTCATCTATTTTCTTTAAGGGGCATTCCTATTCAGAGTCGATAATTTTGTGAATATTAATATATATAAATTTTATTATATATATAATATTATTTAGTTATTATATATTATATATTATTAATTAGTTATATATTGGTTATATATTATTATTTAGTTATATATTAATTATATATTATTATTTAGTTATATATATAAATTTTTTTTTTTTTTTGATAAAATGCAGTCATGTTTTTGTAGGCGAAACGTTTTATAATTTTGCATACATGTTTGACTATATCTCAAGATAATACAGTTCAACTCTCGTGTAGAAATTGGATCTACGTGGCCGAAAATGAAGCTACAAATTCTTATTCTTTTGATATGAAACAATTTTTAGAACTAAGACTTTTCATAGTAAGTTTTAGTATTTTTATAGTAAATATTAACAATGTTTGTAGAAAGAGAACAATTAATTTATATATAGTTTATTTTTGAGTTACAAGATTTTACTTGTAACTTGTAAAAAACGTAAACGGTCGTTCAGCATTCGTTTGTCGTTTGTTTTGGTTTCTTCTTATTTTAAGTAAGGACGAAGGGTGCCTCAACGCTCGAATTTTCGATTAATCGAAATTTGAAGCGAATCGTAGACTCGGTTTTCGATCCGATCTGAATACTCGACAAAACCGAACACTCGAAAGGAACCGAATTGTTTGGACGAATTCGAATAATCGAAAGAAACGGTAATTCTCAGATTAATGTTAAATTAACCCATTGTCCTATAATTCAAGTTTCAATAACGTGTACCACAAACAACAACAAGGTCGGTCACGCGCCGAGTCTTGTTACGGTTAGAAAATACAACGATTTCCGTTAATATTCGGACACTTTTTATAAAACGCAGTAACTTCTTTAGAACTGGACTAATAAATGACTTGAATTTTTTTTAGATGATAGATTATTTAACTCTTTTTAAATTTTGCTATTGCTTTGAATGATAAAAGAAAATAAAAAACTCCTGTTTCTTAATTTTTTTATCTGATTCCATAACGTAAATTTAAAAAATGTGTTTCGTAGATTTCGGTAAATTATATGCATGTTAAAAATTTCACTGAAATCGGTTGACCGATCGGTATGAGGTGTAAACAATTAAAGATAGCAAAAATCGGTTTCGTCCTGATTTTTGCAGCTTTTACAATCTTTTAACGCTTGTAACTTGACTTTGCGTTAACCGATTTCGATAAAATTTTCAGCATATAAGTTACCGAGATCTACAAAATGTATTTTTAAAATTTTTATTATAGACTCGGATAAAAAAAATTAAAAGACGAGAGTCTTATTTTGTTTTGTCATTCCAAGTAATAGCAAAATCGTAACAAAGCAGTTTAGTTATTATCTAGCATACACTAGTCTCTCTGTCATCTAAAAAAAATTCAAATCGTTTATTCTAATTTTAAAAAAGTTATTGTATTTTAGGAAGTGTCCGAATATTAATTTGATAAAAAATTTCGAACAAATCATGTGTGTGAAGAGGAAAGGTTTATTATAAGATTTATTAGTTTCATAATTTTATAAGTTATTATAAGTTCTAATTCCAATTTATAATAATTTACAGTAAATTAATAGTCTTCAACCGTATGATATCTTTCAAAGCATTTTGGTACATGCAATGGCACGTTACATCTTTTGCACTCCCTCGTTGTTTCGCTACGTTTTTTATGTCTCGTACGAACTTTACAGATTTTTATGGCTTTGATTTCGATGATGTTGTGTTCCAAAAGTTTAAAAAGGTTCCAGTTATATTTTAATCGAAGGCATATTGGCTATAAAAGTCGGTACCCTTAGATCGCGGCAGGGATTAGCACGCGTCATGCTGGTTCCTGCGCCACTTCCTTTAGCTACTGATAAAACAATTAAATGACGAAAAACAAAATACCTCAAAACATGTATTCCCTATTCTAATACGAGCCTAACTAGTTACGTTTATATCTGGCCCGATTGACGCACCATGGCTCTCATTTCTGGTCCGATTTTTCGACCACGTCTCTCAGACGTGATAATCATTTCTGGTCCGATTCTTTTACCACGTCTCTCAGACGTAATAATCATTTCTGGTCCGATTTTTTTACCACGTCTCTCAGACGTAATAATCATTTCTGGTCCGATTTTTTTACCACGTCTCTCAGACGTGGTAATCATTTCTGGCCCGACTATCTAACCATGTCTCTCAGTTGTAAGGCAAAGGATCAATGTACTGTAAATCTTCAAATTACATACAAGTCTACTGTTATAATGCACGATAGGTGTATTGTCTATACGGAAATAAGCCAACGTAGACTGCAGACTTCAGATTTCGAGCATTAAGAGCTGTTCGAAGTGTTCAATTGTTTCGATTATTCGGATCCGTCCGAACACCTCTGTTTCATTCGAGTATTCGATTTAATCGATTGTTCGAATCGAATTAAATTCGGATTCATTTGTTCGAGGTTTCGCACGTCCTTAACAAGAACATTGTATAATACCACGAAGTTGTTTGTATTATGTATAGTGGAGAAAATAATATTAAAATTATATTGTGAAAGTCCAATATATTATTTAAATAATATATTGTGACAATAAAGTAACGAAATTTATATTTGTTAGACTTATTTTCTGCAAATATACATACGTGACATTGAGTGAATTTGCGACTGTACCTTTGAAAGTTAACTGTCAAGACAAAAAAGTTAAAGTTAAACAGTCAAGACAAAGGAATATGTATGTTGTATACATATGTCGAGTAACGTCTGGATAGGTGTCCTTCGATGTGTTAGCATTTTGTTATAGAACATAGGAAGTTTTCTGTGAATATCTCGGAAATTATTAATATCCGGAAGTTAATATTTTATATTTACGATACTGTCGTCAATTGTTAGTTGTGCAGCCTACAGAAAAATCAAATAATTCTAAAATATCTAAAACACAGACGACGCGAAAAGAAAAAAGTGAAATATAATATATAATAATATATAATAATCTACCCGGAATAATCAGACTTTTAAACCGAAAGTACGTATAAATTTACTGCAGAAAATGTCGAATATCATCAGAATTATAGACTACGTAACTAACAATTTCTCCATAATTATTTTCTTTGTGTAGTTTACCTTTAAATATTTGTTAAATATTTTAAAAATATTTCTTAAACGATTTCACAAAAATATCATTGGCTGTTATATACATATATAGTTTTACATAAAAAGAAATGAAGAATTAATGAAACAAACAAAAGAATGGGAGAGTGCTGGCTGCGAGTTCACAATCGAACCTTCAACTTGCATAGTTAATATGTATTGCTAATTGTACCGCGCCGATGCAGTGCTAAGCTGACTTATCACTTGATTTCATTTCTTAATTGTTTCTGTGAAATGTGTGCCGTTTAGCGGTGCTCAATATATTTACAGAATAAATAAAATGTCACAATTATAAAATTAGATCAGTTTCTCGCGGAAGGAACGTCAAAGTCGGTTTTTATTTCTTTTAACTACGGCGCACCAAATTGAAAAATTTGAAAGAATTCCTGAACGATAATTATAGCAATGTATAATATATCGATAGTGGAAAAATATGCAGTTTGTCACTTCAGAACTTTCATGTGGAAGCTGTATTTTTTTGATTGTCTTAAGTTTTTTGAATCTTTACAAATATTTTCAATTAAATAATCTGAAACGTATCGCAGAGTAGGTATTTGGGTGTTTGACATGTCTCAGATTTTTTCTCAGAATTTCTAAACATCATTATCTAGGAAAAGTAAGACAAAAACTGATTTTTTAATTTTACCTCATAACTAACCGCCCGATCGAGATATAGGGTTGAAATTTTACACAGTATACAGGGTGTCCCAAAAATGTCTCGCAATCCGGAAATGGCGGGTTCCTCGGATCATTTGAAGCAACTTCTTCCTTTACAAAAATTTTCTCCGAGACACCGTCAACGAGTTATTAACGAAAAACAGTGACCAATAAGAATCGAGTACGATTTACACGAGGCGGCCCAGCCAACCAGCGCACGAAGCCCAGTTCCGCTCATTGGCTCGGTCGCCTCGCGCCAGCTGAGCTTGCCTCTCATTGGTCACTGTTTTTTGTTGATAACTCGTTAACGGTGCCTCGGAGACAATTTTTGTAAAGGAAAAAGTTGCTTCAAATGACCCGAGGAACCCTCCACTTTCGGATTGCGAGACATTTTTGGGACACCCTGTATTTTTTCTTAATGTCCTATCGAATGGCGCATCGACCATATATTTCAGCATGAGGGTACTTTTCAATCCCTTAGAATAACGTCACAACGCAGCTGTTTTTTGGTCGGTCGGACGTCGGTTAAACACGCACAATGGCTAACGAAGAATGTGTGCGTGCAAATTCGGCCGACGCGACGTCGTCGGTGAACGCGATCGCAGAACGCGATATCAGATGAATGGTTTTGGCTCCTCGCAGCTTCGGCCGGATTTATTGGCCCAACGGAGGCATTAGTTGCTAATTCGTTAATTGGTTTAACATTTGGACACTCAATATACGGATTTTATAATTATATTTTTGCGTGCAAATGTTGTTAAAAAACAAATACAATTTACTCAATATTCATAAGTATACATACATTCCATACATTCCTGTTAATATTCGAATGCTTTTCAAAACGCAATGATTTTTTTTAGAACTGGACTAAACGACTTGATTTTTTTTTTAGATGTTAGAGGGACCAGTCTACTAGGTCGTAACAAGAACGTTTTTTCAAATTTTGCTATTGCTTCGATTGAAAAAAAAATAAAAGTCACGTTATCTAACTCTTTCATTCGAGCTGATGACGAAACTTTAAAAAATGCATTTTGTAGATCACGGTAAGTTATATGTGTACTAAAAATTTCATCGAGATCGGTGATGACCTCGGTATGAGATGTAAACAATTGAAGATCACAAAAATTCATTGCAAAATTTTGTCCCGATTGAAATTACGACCACTTTGGGATAAATGTTTAATTTTTGAAAGTAATCCGTTATAGTTGAAGATAAGTAATAATAAAGTAATTAAAAATAATCAAAACAGCGTTACTTACTTCCTTATTTACGCACGTTACCACCAAACAGAAAATTGCAAGCAAGAATAAAAATAAGTCAATTAGTAATCGAAGAGGTATCTGAAATGTCAGTCCGACAGCCTCGGGCCGAAACACCCATTTAGGCTAAGGAATTCATTTAATATTATATTAAGTATAAATGTAATATTCTATGTAATTTTAAGTCTATTTATAAATTTCTTATATCGCCAACTGGTATAACAAATAAATAATTATAATTATACTGTATCTCATATTATAATATACGTACATATGTATAACCAGGAGTTGGAAACAGTTATGATATCGGTTTCGGTTCTTGGAACAGTTATAAGGTTATATAAGTAAAGTTTTATTTCTTTTAACTACGGCGCACCAAATTGAAAAATCTGAAAGAATTCCTGAACGATAATTATAGCAATGTATAATATATCGATAGTGGAAAAATATGCAGTTTGTCACTTTAGAACTTTCATGTGGAAGCTGTATTTTTTTGATTGTCTTAAGTTTTTTGAATCTTTACAAACAACATTTTCAATTAAAAAATCTGGAATGTATCGCAGAGTAGGTATTTGGGTGTTTGACACGTCTCAGAATTTCTAAACATCATTAATTAGGAAAAGTAAGACAAAAACTGATTTTTTTATTTTACCTCATAACTAACCGCCCGATCAAGATATAGGGTTGAAATTTTACACAGTGTACAGGGTGTCCTAAAAATGTCTCGCAATCCGGAAATGGCGGGTTCCTCGGATCATTTGAAGCAACTTTTACTACTAAATTTCTTATATCGCCAACTGATTTAACAAATAAATAATTATAATTATACTGTATGTCATATCATAATATACGTACATATGTATAACCAGAGGTTGGAAACAGTTATGATATCGGTTTCGGTTCTTGGAACAGTTATAAGTTTATATAAGTAATCATACCGGTTTCGGTTCTTCAGAACCGATCCGGAATTTCGGGTATGGATTTCGGCTCTAATTATATTAGTTATTATATATATTTATATATATAATATAATATAATATAATATATATATATATATATATATATATATATATATATAATATAATATAATATATATAATATATATTATATATTTTTATATATATTTGTTATAAGCTACATATTCTATATTTAAGTTTGAAATAGACGCGGTTTGATCACATTTTTTAAATACTTTGCCTCATTGAAAAGCAGCGACAACGGTCAAATGTACTGTTTTGTCTATCACGAGGCTCGGAATTGACCAGCACGCAACATGAGGATCTCGAAGGCTACGCCTCCCAGCTACCGTCTCGCGTCTCGTTATCCGGTGATCGCCTAAATGCTGCACACACACGCATATATAAAGCAACAGGCACACATGTCTGAGTTGCTCCGAGCCGAAAGTGGCGACCACGGTTAATTCCGAGCCCTGGTCTACCAAATAGTTTCGTTCGTTAGAATCGGCATTGGTTCGTTGCGGAACTATTTTGTTCTTTTCATTAGAGAGAATAGCACATAAAATGTGAACGAACGTTTCCATAAATCTCTTAAGGAATTCTGCTCAGTCAGAAATCTAAAAAAAAATCGATTTTTGGGTTTTGGTTGTTCCTGAAAGTGTAAATATGTATGAATGTTTCGAAAATATTCTATGGAAAATTTTATTGTAATTTATTGATGGACATATTATAGTCATTTAATTATTCAAGTGTTACTTGTTTAAGTGTTGGTTTTAAAAATTCCTGAAGTTTAAGGTATAGGCGAATAATAATGACCGTGTTGGCGAGAGAGAGAGAGATAGAGAGAGAGAGAGAGAGAGAGAGAGAGAGAGAGAGAGAGAGAGCTGACTACTACAAATGCCCACTACAAATTTCGTGGGGTTAGAAAACGAACCACTACGAACTGGTCCAAGGCGCCCAAGGGACCCAAGACCTGAAAATGGCCCCTAGACGGGGTTTTCCTCGGTGGAAAGGCCCGGTAGGGTAGTTCACGGACGGACGAGACAAGGCAACCGCCGTACACAAGAAATAGCGCACCAAGGTAAAATATTTCGCCTGCAACAACAAATAAACGTTTTGGAGGATAGTACTTCAGCAGAAGATGACTAATATGTATTAAAGTAGTTAAATATAAACATTTAAATGACAATATAAGCTGAAACTCTCTCTTTAAACGTGTTTTTCTTGAAAATACATTTTCAATATCGGTGGTCAGGATATCTCGAAAAGTACTATATCGATTTGGGAAAATTTCCGTAGCCTGTTTGCATACAAAAAACTTGTACTTGAACGAAGGATTTTTACCGCCTAAAATCCTAGTTATTTTTCATCAAAACCTGAACGCCTGCCGTTTCGTCAAATATCAAAATTTCGAAAATTATTCATTCAAGGCCAAGTTCAGACTATCAACTAAAGAAATATTTTTCGAACATGATTTCAGATTACCATGGACCGAGTAAAGCTGATCACCGCAAAGTATGTTTCTCCGGGAAGCCCTCAGGAGAACTGTCGTAGCTTACGCATGTCTGCACATTTTTAAATGAAAGAAATACAATTAGTAATAAAAGGTCTTATTTTTCAAATAAAGGAACACTGGCTGAAGAAGGTCTTAAAAATTTTGAGAAAACAATTTCCCGAAAACACCATTTTTCTTATTAATAGCGTTATATTTTACTGTACCATGAAATAATGAATTTCTTATATTAGAAGTTACTACACGTATAATACACACACATTTCTAAATAATTTAAAACTTATGTATAAACGTTTAGGGACTGTAAAAGTAAAATGTATATTGCATCATATCTCCATTGTCCATTTTTGTGTACAATCTGAGTGTCAATTAGGGAGAATTTACTGTATTGTGAAAACGTAAAGCCTTAAATTTGAAATATAACCGAAATAATATCGGTCACATCAGAACCGATATAATATTGGTTTTCAAGAAACACGAACCGAAATTGATGTAAGTTAGAACCAATATACCTCATGACGATTATGAAACTTTTTCGTTTATGCATAACAGTTTTAATCAGAACCGATTGTATAACGGTTTGAGATGGTTATTTTCGGAACCTTTTAAATCTCTGTGTATAACTAACAATAATTTAAATGACGTACTTGGATTGCTTCTCAACAACATCATAAATCGACTCTATAGTATGTAGTAAAAGAATTTCTTTGTCATTCTTCATATATCCGTGGGTCAGGAGAATTTCATTAAGAACACGGATGTATTATCATTATACTTTACATTTTATTGAATTTTGGAACGATCAGAAAGATATATACATGCAATGAGAATTAAAACTAAATCAGTAACATTTAAGACCGAATAACTTCTCTTAAAACTACACTAAATGAGTTGATTTTTCTATTAATATTAGGACTAATTTACGGTATAATAACTGAAATAACGGTACGATAACTAATTACGTCTCACATATTGGGACGGTTCATATTTCTTTTAACTAACAACGTTATCCTTTTTAGGAATATTTACAATGAGTTATATTTTAAGAATATGCAGTAGGAAAATTGATGTTTTGACTCCTCTGAATGGGAATGCTCCCTTAGTTTGACTCTGGTCACTCTAACCATGAGTTTATTTACACGTTATATACGCATTCTAATGTTTTCCACCTGTATATTTTACAGAGCAACTCAACGTTATCATCACGGTTCTCAAGCATTTGGTTCATCGAGTCGGATAGTGAACCGTGCTAAATTCAACGTACATCTGATTCAACAAGCGCAGTCACGATGAAGGATAACATTAACAAGCAGATTAAGAATAACGTTGAAGAGGGGACAAAGGATAGCACTGAAAAGCAGACCAAAGATGACGTTGAAAAGCAGACCAAAGATAACTCTAAAGAGCAGACCAAGGATAACTTTAAAGAACAGACCAAGGATAGCTTTATAGGTCTGACCAAGAATAACTCTAAAGAGCAGACCAAGGATAATTATAAAGAACAGGTCAAGGCTAGCTTTACAGATCTGACCAAGAATAACTCTAAAGAGCAGACCAAGGATAATTTTAAAGAACAGACCAAGGATAACTTTAAAGAACAGACCAAGGATAACTTTAAAGAGCAGACCAAGGATAACTCTAAAGAGCCGAATGAGGATAACTCTAAAGAGCCGAATAAGGACGACTTCGGAAAGCAGACCAAGGATAACTCTAAAGAGCTGACCAAGGATAACTTTAAAGACTGCTCTTTGGTCTGTACTAAGGATAACTTTAAAGAGCAAACCAAGGATAACTTTAAAGACTGCTCTTTGGTCTGCACTAACGATAACTTTAAAGAGCAAACCAAGGATAACTTTAAAGACTGCTTTTTGGTCTGCACCAAGGATAACTTTCTAGAGCAGACCAAGGATTGCTTTCTAGAGCTGACCAAGAATAACTCTAAAGAGCAGACCAAGGATATTTATAAAGAACAGGTCAAGGCTAGCTTTATAGATCTGACCAAGAATAACTCTAAAGAGCAGACCAAGGATAATTATAAAGAACAGGTCAAGGCTAGCTTTGTAGATCTGACCAAGAATAACTCTAAAGAGCAGACCAAGGATAATTTTAAAGAACAGACCAAGGATAACTTTAAAGAACAGACCAAGGATAACTTTAAAGAGCAGACCAAGGATAACTCTAAAGAGCCGAATGAGGATAACTCTAAAGAGCCGAATAAGGACGACTTCGGAAAGCAGACCAAGGATAACTCTAAAGAGCTGACCAAGGATAACTTTAAAGACTGCTCTTTGGTCTGTACTAAGGATAACTTTAAAGAGCAAACCAAGGATAACTTTAAAGACTGCTCTTTGGTCTGCACTAACGATAACTTTAAAGAGCAAACCAAGGATAACTTTAAAGACTGCTTTTTGGTCTGCACCAAGGATAACTTTCTAGAGCAGACCAAGGATTGCTTTCTAGAGCTGACCAAGAATAACTCTAAAGAGCAGACCAAGGATATCTTTGAAAAGCAGATCAAGTATAGCTTTGGAAGGCGGACCAATGATAACTTTAAAGAGCAGACCAAGGATAATTCTAAAGAGCCGACTAAGAATGACATTGAAAAGCAGACCAAGGATAACTCTAAAGAGCAGACCAAGAATAACTCTAAAGATCAGACCAAGAATAACTCTAAAGAGCAGACCAAGAATAACTCTAAAGAGCAGGTCAAGGATTGCTTTATAGATCTGACCAAGTATAACTCTAAAGAGCAGACCAAGGATGGCTTTGAAAATCAGATCAAGTATAACTTTGGAGGGCCGATCAACCATGAATTATTACAAGATCAGATCCAGCGGAAATTACCTAACATATTTCAGGCCGGTTGTTCCTCAAATCAATCAAGAGAAATCCTTCCGCCTGGCCTCGCACTCAAGGCAGCAACACAGATGTCACGACTCGATTCATTGAAGGACATCGAAGGAACGTTAGCAGACATGACGCATGACATCACTTATGCAAAAGTGTCGTTAGAACTTGAATTGATGGAAAAAATTCATAAAGACTTTCAAAAAGAACATGCTTCTCTTGAGTCGGCATGGCCAGCAAACTGTATTCATCATGAATACTTCGCCTGTGATGTCTTCCAACAGGAGGTTCAGACGATGATGAGGATCAAGCGGGAGGCCAGAAAATTGGAACTCATGATTATCGGAGGACCTGCGTCTCAGAATTCTGGAATCAACGCCGGCGGAAATCTGCCGGAACTTCCACTCCCCACGTTCAAAGGCGACTTTATGGATTGGCCTTCATTTATTAAAATTTTCACCTCACGCGTTTTAAAGCGAGGTCATCTGGACAATATTGAGAAACTATGCTATCTAAGGCAGTGTCTCCAGGGGCCACCAGCCCGACTCATTGCAGGCTTGCCTCTCGAAGATGAATCTCTAGAGCTCTCATTGAGTATACTCAGCCAATGGTATTTCAACAAGCGTATTCTTGTCGATGCGGAGTTCGATAGGATTTTCAAAATCACAGCTCCAGCAATGGCGGACTCAGCCACCCTGATGGAACTCACTACAAAAGTGTTGTCGTCCTCCGTGACCTTGAAGGTGACTGGAGTAACTGACTTTTGGGATAGCTTCTTGGTATACCATGTGTCACGATGCTTGGACCCTGAGACATGGAATAGTTGGATGACGTCAATGGAGACTTTCAAGGATTACCCACGTTACGAGCAGTTGGAAAGTTTTATCAAATCACGGGCACGAATAATGCAGACGTTAGAATTGTATGCAAAGGATCCCAATGTCCCAAGGCAGCAACAATTCGAGGAACAAACCATACTGCTTGCTCCATTGCCTGAACTCGCACCGCCACCACCCTTCTCAGTATCTCCAGTCCATAATGCCTGTGATTTTTGCGACGCCAAACATTGTATAATAAAGTGCCCGAAATTTTCGAAATTGACCGTAGCAGATCGATGGATTTTTATCGGGGACCGTTATCTATGCTCCAATTGCTTGAAACACCACAAGGTGGAAGACTGCAGATCTAAAGGCACTTGCAACGTGTGTGACAAAAAACACCACACCCTGCTTCACGACGAGCATGTGCTCTAGAAATGCTTCACGTCATCTTATTGGGGGTTTGGTTGGGGGGCGTCGTCGTCACACCGCACAATCTTCTTGGGGGTCTCGTTCAATCGCCACGCCATTCACATTCTGGGATCCGCTAATTTAATAGTACAAAACACACGAATTAGACACAATTACTTGCAAAAGTAACACAATGCGTTCAAGTTGAAAATCAAGGCTACTCATCTGTGAGATGAACCCACAGGTTACACTTATGTGGATGAAGACTCTTGCATCTCCAAAATGAATATCACCTCCTGAATTGTGATAATTCCGATGCGATCCAACCTCTGCGATTCATCTACAATAGGATGATCACCTTCAGGATTTATCATGGGGGGTGGTGCTATCATGTCTCCTCGATTACTCTATACTCGTGGACACGTCAGCCAACCGAACCTGAAAACATAACTGCATTAGTGTCTTGTTCAAGCGTGTCTCTCTTCCAACGAAATCTTGGCTATACAGAAATCGATGATCACTGGCATTTCATGCAAAGGTATTCTTCCCTCAACGAACTGTTTCGTCTAATAATAATTCGTTTTAGAATTATTTGACGATTCAAGAAAACACTGTACTCATCGCTAACAACGCTCATACAAATTGCTGACTTGGAAAGAGCTACATGCAAAGGTATTCTTCCTTTAACGAACTCTTTCGTCTAATAATAATTCGTTTTAGAATTATTTGACGATTCAAGAAAACACTGTACTCATCGCTAACAACGCTCATACAAATTGCTGACTTGGAAAAAGCTACATGCAAAGTTATTCTTCCTTCAACGAACTGTTTCGTCTAATAATAATTCGTTTTAGAATTATCTGACGATTCTAGAGAACACTGTACTCATCACTAACAACGCTCATACAAATTGCTGACTTGGAAAGAGCTACATGCAAAGGTGTTCTTCCTTTAACGAACTGTTTCGTCTAATAATAATTCGTTTTAGAATTATTTGACGATTCAAGAGAATACTGTACTCATCACTAACAACGCTCATACAAATTGCTGATTTGGAAATACTGTACTCATCACTAACAACGCTCATACAAATTGCTGATTTGGAAAGAGCTACATGCAAAGGTATTCTTCCTTCAACGAACTGTTTCGTCTAATAATAATTCGTTTTAGAATTATTTGACGATTCTAGAGAACACTGTACTCATCACTAACAACGTTCATACAAATTGCTGACTTGGAAAGAGCTACATGCAAAAGTATTCTTCCTTCAACGAACTGTTTCGTCTAATAATAATTCGTTTTAGAATTATTTGACGATTCAAGAGAACACTATACTCATCACTAACAACGCTCATACAAATTGCTTACTTGGAAAGAGCTACATGCAAAAGTATTCTTCCTTCAACGAACTGTTTCGTCTAATAATAATTCGTTTTAGAATTATTTGACGATTCTAGAGAACACTGTACTCATCACTAACAACGTTCATACAAATTGCTGACTTGGAAAGAGCTACATGCAAAAGTATTCTTCCTTCAACGAACTGTTTCGTCTAATAATAATTCGTTTTAGAATTGTTTGACGATTCAAGAGAATACTGTACTCATCGCTAACAACGCTCATACAAATTGCTGACTGGGAAAGAGCTACATGCAAAGGTGTTCTTCCTTTAACGAACTGTTTCGTCTAATAATAATTCGTTTTAGAATTATTTGACGATTCAAGAACACACTGTACTCATCACTAACAACGCTCATACAAATTGCTGATTTTGAAGGAGCTAGGATATTTTGCATCGGAGATATTTTCGATCAACGCCACTTCATAGCGTTCTCCTTTCATGAGCTCAAACTATCAGCGCTAACATAACATTGCCAAGGTGTCATACGTAGCAAGCCTTGCTACGTAGGTGAACATATCCTGTCATATCGTCACGATACTGAAGACCGTCCGAACAATTTGTTTTACGATCATTGAACGACTCAAGTGAACACCATACTTATCATCAATCACGCTTACACCAAACTGCTGATTTGAACGGGACTAGGATATTTTGCATCAAGGCCGCTCAATCAACGCCGCTTCATGAGCTCAAACTATTAGAGGCTAACATTGCTAAGATGTCATACGTAGCAAGCATTGCTACGTAGGTAAACATCGGGCCATATATCGCTACGACGCTGAAGATCGCCTATATCCCGCGCGCATTAATTTAACCCTTTGCACTGCGATTTCTTTCACAACTGCGTTGACTAGCAATTCTTAATAATCTTTCCGTCAGAACGAGACAATTTTTACTTCTTGTATGTTCTCATTTACTTTTATTCCTAGATATTGACATTGAAAATATCAAATTTTGTTTCGTCTTAGAAGTAAATAATATACACAACTAGCAGATTATGTATGATATAGTATAATCACGAGTTCGATTTGTTATTGTGGCGTAAGAGATTAATCAAGAACTAGTTTGCTCAGCAATGCATATTCTAATACTTTCCACAGAACGAATCAACATCGACGTCGGTTTGTAAATTAATAGTTTTTATATTTATAAACGACTATTTAGTCTGATTTGCCTAATGTTGTATACGAAATGTAGATATCATTATCATTTGCATCAATAAATTCACGTTTCCATTTCCTTTATCATTTACTTGATCGGATCATTAATCCGGTACTTTCCTCTTTTACCATATTCCGTAACATCGTTTCTCTCTGTTTACGCAATCCGGCCTCTTTGCCCGCAGACCAGTACCCTATGCCTGGCAAAGCTTAATCTGATTATACGCTTTGTCAAAGCTTTAGCGCCCGGGAGAGTTGATACCTTCGCAATAGCACGGGCGACGAATTAGACGCGACGATCAATTGTTCGGTTTGCCTCCAATTGAGAATACGATTGCCTAAGCATCCCGAATTGTTTATTCGTCTATATATTTAACATTATCAATTTATTATAATCATTGATTGTACAATTTTTTTAAATGCGATGATTCTCGTCTATGCTCAAACTTTCTTCACACGTTAGCATATATCATTTTTAATTTTATCAATTTACTATAATCAATTTAATATAATCATTGGTTATACAATTTTTTAAATATAATGATTTTCGAATATTCTAGCTCGACTTGCTTAGAAGATTAATTACGGATAGTAAATCATACAGGAGGAGACACGTATAAAGCAGTGCAATACGCTCGTATATGCGTAAACGTGTATTCACAGTTTTTAAACAGCAATGTACTTCAGAGTTTTTTCAACTACTTGCATCCCGAACGATTTGGATTCTTACAAACTAAAATTGAATTGTTCTGTTGTGTTTTATAATCTCACAAATGGCCAAACATGAAAATATATTATTATTTCTTCAAAGCCGAGTTATTTATTCATTAATTATATAAGGGAAGTATAAAGTTTATTACTCATTTTAGGCCGAATGGCCATACTTTAGATAATCAACGAATATAAATACATTATCCATACAGACTTTTAAATTTTGAAGAAAATAGTTGTCATTGTCAATAATCTTTATTAGCAAACGATGTATGAAAAATGTATTATATGTTTCAAGAGAT